GAGGACCTGTGACTAATGTCAGAGCCCTTGCGCAGACGGCTCTGCAGGTCTGGAGGCTGAGCCGCCAAGCCCAAGGAGCACATCCTGCAGTTCAACGCCCCAAGGACAATTAGCTGTGGATTTCCCGTCAACACAGGTGACTGCAGAGCTCAGCTTTTAAAAATAAAAGAGACTTTTAAATTTTTTCATTTGTGAGTACAGTGGTGTAAGGAGGGCTTCTTAACTAGACAGAGAAAGATACCGAGCGACTGTGTTCATTTCATCAACAGCTGCACAGGACTGCGGGCCCTAAGAAAAAGGAAGCACAAACAAGTTGAGTCCTAAGATCACCTTGGCTTCCTGCCTGAAGGTGATTTCTGGACTGCGTGGGTGGACGAGAAGAATCCTGAGTCTGGCGGCCTCACAGAGCTAATCAGAATTCGGGGAGGTTAAAGAAGCTGGAATTTGCAGGGCAAGGTTCCAGAAAGCAAAAATGCTATGGGGAAAAAGAGCTCCAGAAATCTAGTCTCCAGTGCTAGGCTGCATCTGTACAGAAGGAAACTTCCTGAGGCAAAGGACGACCAGGGGCCTGTAAGCTGCAGTTGCCAGCATTCAGATGGGAAGACGCTCAATCTCGACCTTCCCACGGGAGGGTCCTTGGGGTTCACACTGCCCATTTAGTGGGGACCTCAGAAGACTTCAGCGGTGGGACTGGCTTAATCCTCCTCTACACTTGCCCTAGCCAAGTGTGGTGAGTTAAACTGTGTCCTCTCAAAAGTCCTATGTTAAGGAACTAATGCCCAGTGCTTCAGCATGTGACTCTAAGAGCTGATATAATTAGCGAAGATGTTGTCATACGGGAGTATGGTGGGCCCCAATCCAAGACGAGTGGTGTCCTTATAAAAGGGGGAAATTTGGACATGGACACACACACAGAGACTCCCACACACACACGGAGAATGCCACATGAGCGTGAAGGCAGGGATCCGGGTAATACATCTGTAAGTCAAGAAATGCCAAAGATTGCCAGCAAACACCCAACAGCTAAACAGAGGCAGAAAACCGATTCTCCCCACGGTGCTCAGAAGGAACCAGTCGTCCCAGCATGCTGACCTTGGACTTCCAGCCTCCAGAACTAGGAGACAATATCTGTCCAAGTCACTCAGTTTGTGGTACTTTGTGGTTACAGCAGCCTCAGCAAACAGAGAAACAAAACGTAGAACCAAGTAGGGGTTTGAGACCAGTGGGGGATGTGACACCCTGCAAGTCTCCACACGCTATGCCCTGGCCAGGCCAGTTTGCACCTGCATTGCCTCAAGCAGATTCTAAACATCAAAAAAACAAATGTTACTTGATGAATTCAAGTTAAATAAAAAAGTTTCTCTAATTGAGACTTTTAGAGGAGATATGGGGCTTTTTCAAATATCAATAGTTCTTTAAGAAACTTGCAGACAGAGCCAGCAGGTGGCATGGTGGTTGGGGTGCTGAACTCCCACATGGTCAACCATGATTCAAGTCCCAGACCTGGTGGCTTGTTTTCTCACTTTCTCTCTCTCTCTGTTGAGCAAATGTGCCCTATAGCAAACTTTAAAAAAAACAGTAATAATGAATAAAGTAAAATAATCTTAAAAAGAAACTTGCAGAAATTGGGACCATCAGGTGGCATGGTGGTTAAGGCACTGGACTCCTACATGTCTGACCACAGTTGGAGTCCTGGACCTGAAGACTTGAAAATTATGCCAGTGTGTGTATGTGCGTGCCCCAAATCCCGAGAGAATAGAAGGAAGGGATTGTGGGGTGACTATCCCCTCGAGGGGCGGATTTCTCACTTTCCCCCTCTCTGTTTCTTTCTAGAGAGTGCATGTGCCCTATGGCAAAAACATTCAAAAAAAGAGAAGAAGGAAACCTGCAGACAGACATTACATGTGTGAAGACCATGATGGCTCCTTTGGGAGCGCTGCTATAACCAGACTTTCACCCAGTGGCTGGGAATGCATATGATCAACAGCCAGGCTTCAAACAGACAAATCTGGGGTCTTTTCCTCCAACAGACTCAAATGTTATGACTGGACTTGAAACACACCGGTGTACTTCCACGACAGCGTATGGCTCCACGAGCTGCTGGCTAGAGACAGGGTAAAACATGAAATGCCAATCAGATTTATCTTCCCTGGTCTATCCAGAGAAGCTACCTGATGACCAGCCTATTTTGGAAGACGTTAACGGCTGTAAATCCAAGACTACAGCTTTACTCTGCGGCTGGGCTGGTGGGTGATCTGTCCCGTCCCCATTTTTGCAGACAGTTGCACTGTACGTAACAGCTGTGTGAAAAGAACCTGTCATCTCCCATCCCAATCCAGCCCTGCGTTTTAATTATCTAACGAGTTCTTGTCATGTTTTGGTTGATTTCCTTCCTCACATGATCTCAAAATCTACAAATACATATCTTAAGATAATAACCTTCAAAAAAGAAAAGTAATAGGACGGAGAAAACTCTGAGAAGTGAGACCAACTGGTTTTATTTTTTATTCTCGGACTCACTACAAAAATTTACATGCAGAACAATGAGCCCTACCTCGCCATTCCTTCCCAAAATGAGGCTTATTAAAGAGTAGAACTAACAACTCCAGGCTCCTTGAAGGAATAAAACCACCAAGTCCTTAAACGTTGGAGTGCAAGGCAGCATGGGAAGGCTCAAACAGAAACCAGTGTGTGGCCTGCAGTAGAACAGGACAGAGACATACTGTGATTTTCTTTTCTTTTCTTTTCTTTTCTTTTTTTTTTTCACTTAAGGTTACTGGAGAAACACTGGGGTTCTGAGAAACAAGCATTAAAAAAAAAAAAAAAAGGTTATTTTATTTTATTTTGCCAGAGGGCACATGCACTTGTCAAAGAGAGACAGAGTGAGGCAGAGAGACAGAGAGAGAAAGCACTCCTCAGTGGGGTGTAGTCACACTACAATTCCTTCTCCTCGATTTCTCCATCTTGTGGGGAGTTGAGGCATGCACATACACATGTCTAGCATGTTTTCCAAACCACTGGGTGTGGGAATCAAACCATGCCATTGGCTATGTGGAACATGGTTCCCTCTACCACTGGGCCACAGAGCCAGTCCTCAAAATTCTTCCAAGACTCTCCTTCCAAAAAAAGCAGGAGAGATCTCACCTCCACGGGATGAGTAGCGCTGTGTAATAAACAAGGTTGTCAGTCACGAGGAGGTGCCAATTGAATCATGAGGGGCGTAACTGTGTGTGGTGCTAGAACTGGTGAAAAGAACTCTGGGCCTGGACTTGGCTTAGCCCTGAAGTACTTGTCTGTGGGTAGCTTCAAAACCTTCCTGAGCTCCGCGCGCGCGGCGGAAGAAAAAGCCAGCCGCGCGCGCGGCGGAAGAAAAAGCCAGCTGCGCGGGATCCCGAGAGGAGAATGGAGGAGAAGGGATTGAGGCGTGACCATCCCCCCTGGGGAGTGATTTCTCGCTTTCTGTCTCTATGTCTCTCTCTGTCTGTCTGGCGAGCACACGCGCCCTACAGTGAAAATCTCTCAAAAAAAAAATTATTAGAAAAAGAAAAAAAGAAACAGAATTGGGCAAGTTATCAAACAAGATTAAAAATTATAACCCACAATTTCAAGAGGAAATGAAAGACATTAGGAAAGTAATACAACACATGAAAAAATAAAATCAAAATTAGAAAGGTCAGAAATGAGGCAACATCTCCAGGGCCGGCGTGTGGCCTTTGGACCAGCAAGCTGAAGCGGAAAACAAGGTCTGAGAACTTGCAACTTGAGAAGATGATGGTTACCAGCCCTGCATTGCCTCAGGGAAGAACAGGAACTACTCTACCATTCTTGAAGTGAAGGTACTTAATGAGAATAGGACAGTGTGGAATGGGGTAAGTGAAGAGAAGAGGATAGAGAAAGATAGCAAGCGAGCAATAGAGAGACAGGGCGTCAGTGAGAAACAGATAGGGTTTATTAACTGTTGATGATGACATGTATAGAATTCTCAACTGGACTGGTCTGAGAAGTGTTTCATGACGGGCAAAGTATTTTTACAAGCAAAACGAGAAATAGCAATTCACTGTTTTATAAAAATAATTAGAATAATAAAGATAATGATTGGGGAAAACAGAAAAGATATGGAATGTTGAAGTGGGGAGATTAATGTCTCTGTACTGACTGACGTGCATGGCATTCCCTTTTGAAGAAACAATGTAATACACAGTAAAGTTATATGTAATCCAATGTAATATGAAGAAGATACGATGATAAAAAATAAAAAAACAAAACAAAACAAAAAAACCTTCCTGAGCTTAAATTTCCCAATCAGTAAAGTGAGGAGATGGAAAGGGTTAGAATACATATGATTTCAAATTCAGACATTCAGTAGTTCTAGCAGAAAAGTAATAGATGCTTTCCCTCCTTCTTGGCAGATGAGAGACTGAAAATGAACAATCTTTTTGAAGGTTATATGCTAGCTATATGAAGGGACTTCAAAACACTTCACAGAAAATAGAATTAAAGTATGAGATGATTTTAGTAAAAAAATTGAAATCCATTTATAGTTTTTCCACAGTACACATTTCCATGAATTTCTTCATATGTGTGTACTTTATTGAATCTATCATCTTGCCATTTGCTTCTATTTGTCCCACGTATTCACCTGCTCTAGGTGTACGTGGGTGCATGGCTGGAATTTCTTGAAGTGAAAAATACAGTACCTGGGATTAAATATTCACGAATGAGGGGCCAGCAGGTGGTGGTTGAGGCGCTACACTCCCACATGGCTGACCATGGTTCTAGTACTGGACCTGGTGGCTTGCTTTCTTACTTTCTCTCTCTCTCTCTGGTGAGCACACGTGCCCTATAGCAAATTTTAAAAAAAAATTTTTTTTTTTTGGAGAGGTTTTTGCTATAGGGCACATGTGCTCGCCAGACAGACAGACAGAGACAGAGAGACAGAAAGCGAGAAATCACCCCCCAGGGGGATGGCCATGCCACAATCCCTTCTCCTCCATTCTCCTCTCGGGATCTTGGGCACGCACGCACACGTGCCTGGCATTGTTTTAAGCCACCAGGTATGGGACATGAACCATGGTCGACTACATGAGAGTCCAGCAACATAGCCATTATGCTAACTGCTGGTCTCTAAAAAATAAAAATTAAAATAAATTATTCTTAAAAATTCACTGAATGGATTTTAAATTAGATTGAACATTGCCCACACCCCCCCAAAAAAAGAGTGAATTTGAAGACATAGTGATATACTTTATTCAAAATAAAGCACAGAGAAATTCTACTGAAAAAAAAAATTAACAAAGCCTCAGTAACCTACAAGCTCAAGGTGGTGTAATGGTTAAGTCACTGGACTCCCACATGGCTGACCCTGGTTAGAATCCTAGTCCCAGAGGCTTGAAACTCATGCCAGGTGTGTGTGCATGTGTACCCAATATACTGAGATGAGAATGGAGGAGAAGGGATTGTGGCATGGCCATCCACCCTGCAGGGTGATTTCTCACTTTCTGCTTCTCTGTCTCTCTGGCAAGTGCATGCGCCCTATATTTTTCTAAAAAAGAAACAAACAAACAAACAAAAACCAATCTCTTCCTTGAAAACATCAGTTAAATTTACAAATCTTTAGCCACACTGATCAAGCAAAAAGGAAAGAGTAATCAGATAATTAAAATCAGGAACAAAGAAGGAGTATCATGACCAACCTTACAGAAATAAAAACAACTATAAAGGAATTATGAATAATTATATGCCTAGATTAATGGAAATTTCTAGAAACACTTCTCAACTCATTCAAAAAGGTTAGTATTACCTCGATACCAAAACCAGAAAGAAATCTTAAGAAAACTATAGACCAATATCCATTATGAATGAGGATTCAAAAATTCTCAAGGGACCAGCAGTTAACATAATGGCTATGTCGCTGGACTCCCACGTAGTCGACCGTGGTTCGCGTCCCGGACCCGGTGACTTAAAACTCACGCTGGGTGCATGTGTGTGCGTGCCCAAGATCCCAAGAGGAGAATGGAGAAGAAGGGATTGTGGCGTGGCCATCCCTCCTGGGGGGGTGATCTCTCACTTTCTGTCTCTCTGTCTCTGTCTTTCTGGTGAGCGCATGCGCCCTATAGCAAAAAAAAAAAAAAAACTCTCAAAAAAAAAATCTTTTTTAAAAAACCCACTCAGCAAAATAGGAATAGAAGGTTACTTTCTCAACCTAATAAAGGCCATCTATAATAAACCTACAGTTAACATTATGCTCAGTGATGAAAGACTGAATGTTTTCCCCTAGGATCAGGAACAGAACAAAAATACCTGCTCTTGCCACTTCCATTCAACTTTGTACTGGAGGTTCTAGACAGAGAAACAGGCAAGTTAAAGAAATAAAATGTATCCAGACTTGAAAGGAAAAGTAAAACTATCTCTATTTGCAGATGACATGACTCTGTAGATATAAAATCCTAAGTAATTTATCAAAAACTATTGAAACTAATAAACAAGTTTGGGTTGGGAGGGTTGAAAGACAAAGGTTGATATACAAAAATCAATTGTATTTCCATATACCAGCCAATTGTATATTGTATATTGTATACCATATACAATCCAAAATAAAATTAAGAAAACAATTCCATTTATAATAGCATCAAAAATAGTGTGATACATAAACATGCATGTTTAACAACAGAAATACAAGATTTTTACTCTGAAAACTGCAAAGTGTTGAAAGAAATGATAGCAAACCATAATAGGGTCAGCCCATGGTGCAATATTAAGGCAACTGGATTCCATGACTTTGTGGTTCAAGTCCTGGACCCAGTGGCTTGAGAAACAAATGATGCACATGTGTGTGCATACCCAAAATTCCAACAGGGGGAAGAAATGCATGCCCAAAATGCACAAGGAGGGACAAATGAAGGGGAAGGGACGACAGCGTTACCTTCTCCAGGAGGGTACTTTCTCACCCCCCCCTCTGGTGAGCACATGACCCTCTGTCAAAATTAAAAACTAAAAATTAAACCTAAATAAATGAAAAGTATCCCATAGTCATGGACCAGAAGACTTAGTATTGTTAAAATGATAACACAACCCAAATTGATTAACAGATTTAATGCAAAGCCTATCAAAAACCCAGCTCCACTTCTTTTCTTAAATGTAATTGACAAATAGGTCCTAAAAAATCAGGTGGAAATTTAAGAAACCCCAAAGTAGCCAAAATGATCTTGAAACAGATGAACAAAGATAGAAAACCCATACCTCTCCATTTCAAAAGAAATCAAGACAGTAGCAATACAAGATATATATTATATATTATATTATATTATATTATATTATATTATATTATATTATATTATATTCACACCTACATAGTATCAAAGGAACAGAATTGATAGTACAGAAATGAATCTTCACATTTATAGCTAACTAATTTTTAACAACAATGCCAGGAATATTCAATGGGGGAATGTGCAGAGTTTTTAACAAATATTCTTGGAATAACTGGATATTCACATTCCAAAAAAATTGGATCCTTTCTTTATGTCACACAGAAAAAAAGAATTCACAGTGGATGACAGATGTAAATTAGGAGTTAAAAGTAAAAACTTGTAGAAGAAATACAGGAGTAAAACTGTGAACTTGGGTTAGGCATTTATTTCTTACATATAACGCCAAAGGCACAAGTGGTAAAACAGAGGTAAGTTGGGATTCATCAAAACCACAAAGTTGGGACTAGCAGTTGGTATAATGATTACATCGCCAGACTTCCATGAAGTCGAACACAGTTAGAGTACTAGGCCTGGAGACTTGGAACTCATGCTA